TTAGCTTTGCTGAAATGACAAAAGTTGCTTGTAATTTAGAAGCCATTGTGATAACTATTATTAGCAAGATAATGTACTAAAATGTACTGTAAAATGTACTGTTGCCACTTGACTCTTACGACATAATGAGGCTCAGCAGAGTCAGTTAAGAGTACTTTCAGAAGTACAGAAAAACTAAAATGTGGTTGTTTGCTGCAGGTTAGGGTTGGGTTTGGGTTAGTGTTGGCTGTTCTCACTGCCACTCAGTGAGAACAGATAGACAGTGCTCTTGGAAAAAGGATTAAAACTTTGGAAGCAACAAAATCAAAGCACTCCAAAAAAGTCGCACGAGGAAAAGTAAAGTTAAAAAGGCCTTTATTTAAATGGCCAAGGCCAACATGTTTCAACCATGACTCCCCTATGAGCCATCTCAGGCTGAAGAAATGTCTAAACATTTCTAAAATTACCAAATAAAACTATCTAAAAGTTTTGCTCAGTCCCTTCAGTCATTTCTGAGTTATGGCCTGTTGAAATTTTAGGGCCATGCTCACTTTTTCAGAAACCTTAATTTATAAGCATTTTTGAGAGACCAGAACTTCATAAAAAAAAAAAAAATCTCAAATTTGGTTGTCGCTCAGTTTTGTTTTTTAAATATTTGAGGTCCAAGATCTATTTACTCCAAGCAGATATTTACAAAGTAACTGTTGAACTTGAATATTTGAGAGAATGACCATTTCTGACAACAATCTCGCACTTTTCTGAGTTTTCATGTGGATGATGTAGAGTCCCAAATATAATCACTGACCAAATGTGATCTTTTTGGCCCCTTCTTTGGACCCTCGGTTCCCCATGTGGCACAGTTAGATGTTGATCAAATTTTTACCAGAGAAACTTTGGCATATTCTGATTAGTTTAAAGTAATAAAAACATCTTCTATTAACTTCCTTTATTTCAAACTGAGTTTTTGAAAATGAGCTCTCACAGGTCATTTTTTGGTGGAGCTTTACCCTTAATAGCCTTAAACAGTAATTTCTTTACAAGCTCTAAAGACATTACAAACCATGAACTTACTTCCAAACTAGAAGAGCTACAGCAAGACAAAGACTGTGAATGGTTCTAGATCACACCACAGTTTTATTCCTCTGTCAAATGGTAAATTAGAAATGAGGAGAATATCTCAAGATCATTGATGTTCTGAAGTGTCAGTTTCTGAAATACAAAATGAGATTGTGTCAGATATCTCTCTGTACCAGGCAGGTCAGTACATGCATGTATTTATGACATCAGGTGGTTCACTCGGAATATTTCAGAGTGTTCAGATGAACATGGTGATGTCTATGTGAGATTCATGAATGAAGATGACAGAACCCTCATGTGTCCTCCTGAACATCAGCAGAACCATGTTGGGTCCCGTTTCAGCACAGAAGCTGTTGTATTAAAAGTTCCAGAAGTTCAGAGAAGAGCATAAAATTTATCGCCTTAACACTGAAGAATATGACAGGACCCAAACATGACTTCTGAAGTTCATTAGTTGTTAGGAACACTTAGTGTGCAAGATACCAATACACATGATCTACATGGAGGTGGTAAAGGGACCACAATGGGCAGATTTGTCCAGTATGTTGCTATTTTCCGCTGAGGTTGTTTTTCACACTGAATTTTTAAAATCATCTCATATCTAATTTTTCCTTGTTAATGTTAATGCCTTCTTGTAACATTTTTGTGCAAAAAATTATACACATATGTTGGTTCTGAAAGTCATGGTTATAGAATCAGAGACTTTGTGATTTATCAGGCAATGAGTTTTCCAATTGTAATTTGCCTTTGATCAGTTTTCATCAATACTATCTCAACTTTTGTTTCTTTACTTATACACCATGAAAATCTGTTTTGTGAAATAACAAATTATCTTTCTCAAAAAAAAAAAAAAAGAAAAAAAAAAGGAGAATAAATTATGCAAACAAACATTTTTTCATAATTTTGTATGGAGTTAATAGTTCAATTTGGTTGATAAAGACCAGTCATGGTCAAAACGTGTTGGCCTTGACCATTTAAATCACGGGTCTCAGACTCGCGGCCCGGGGGCCAACTGCGGCCCGCGGAAGGATTTTTTGCGGCCCTCCACTTCATTCCAAAGAATAATGTCAGTGCGGCCCGCAGTAGATGTACGCACAATCCCACCTCCCTACCGCAGGCCGCACTGACAGATGAAGCTGCAATCGGTGCCCATGCAGATTCACAACAACAGATTATTAACGCATCTTACATCCCAAAACTCAATTTACAGCAGTTGTGAAGCAACGAGTCTAAGTGGATCTGTTAATACCAGTACACGTGCACATACGGTGTCACCGAAGAACCAAAACAAACCACACATGGTGGTACACGTGTGCACTTTACGCTCCCACAACCACAGTATAAGAAATAAAAAGACATTGACAGTCTGTTTACCTGCTCAACACTCGGTGCGTAACTTGCTGGCAACCCGATGACCGATGACCAAGCTCCACATGTGTTGCCGAAATCCACGCGCACTCAGCGGCAAACACAGCTGTCCCATCAATATGCAAGTGTAACCCATGTAAACATATGGTTTCTAATATTTCATCGCGTAAAACTTTCATTTCGGACGCTCCTTGAACACACCACTCTTTTCCTAAGTCTCTTTGAATGTATCATGTGCACATGCGGCTTGCACCTAGCTAGAGACGGCAGTGAGACACAGAGAGCATGTGAACAAGATATACAAGCATTTAGAGTGTCTTACTC